GACTGTCCGCGTCCGGTTACGGGAGTGTCCGCTTTGCGGAGAATGTACGTAATGGTTTATTCATAGAAGATTTCCGGGGAATTAAAAATATGTCCGTATTGAGAGGCGTCCGTTTTGCAGGAGTGTCCATAACAGGAGGTTTCACTGTATGTATATATATATATATATATATATATGATTATTTATGCAATCTGTTTTACGATTTTATAAAAGTCAAGCAATTATTTTCGTTAAGCGTACAACCCTGTATATGTATCGAAACCAAATTTTTTTATTTACTGTTATACATCAAGGATTGCACTTTGATTCTGAACCCTCTACATCCATTTATGTTTGGCAGAATGACAAGACAAAGTGTAGAAATAATTTTAAAAAATCATTACTATATTCCAAGATTTCATTTTTTATTTATTTATTATTATACATGCATGTACAGCTTTGCTTGTTCATTATAAAGTGTGAGTAATAATTAGCTTTTCTAAAGTGAAGAAGAGATTACAGATGAACATAAAAAATAAGCATTAATTGTTATTGTGAGATTTGAACTCTCTACTTCTCTCTAACATAGCGTTTTGTGGAACTGTAAAACCGTTGGGTCAGGGAAATTCCATGAATAACTGCTGTGCTTCTCAATTTTGTTAGGCTATGACGATGTTATCAATGTTGATTGATTTTAAATATCAGGAAGAGACGTAAGAAACGCTTGAAGAAACTTAAAAGAAATTATCATATTATTGACGACAATGATGCTTAATTATATTAGGTAATATATGTATATTGAAGAAAAAGAAAGAAATTCGCTATGCACTAGAAGGCTTAAGTAATGGAGTAAAGGTATTTATTTGTATGGAGGAAGAGTAAGATATCATATTACTATCATGGATGATAATAAAGCATAATTAATGAAATTGAAATTAAAAAAAAAAGTAAATTCTGAACTAAAAAGCAACAATAAGTAGAAAAGATACTTATTCTCGTTTTGGGTAACCATTAAAAATCTTCATATTATTGCTCAATTGAAATTCATATTGTGCATTACTTGAAATAAAATGAAATTAGCTATGCGCTAATAAGCCAAGCTCTGGGAGGAAAGATTAATAGGAAAAATCCTTTAAAAAAACGTAAAGAATTGCCATTCACAGATTGTGCTTAATTCATATGTATCAGTAACGGAAGTATGCATTACTGGTACTATGCAGTTGGCGAGTTGGTTTTGATAAGAATTTTACAATCGGTTTTCCGTAGTTCAAGAAAATATTATTTCCAGTGGTAGCTAAAATAATGTATTAATATTTTAATGAATTAGAATTAAAAGAACTTTTCTCCACTACTGCACTTATAAATACTTTAACAGTAAATTAATGTAGTACAAATTTCATATTTACAGCCTAATATATGAAATTATTGAAAGTTCCAAAGCTTGGTTATTAAAACAATTTTATTTATTTTGTCTCTTGACTCTTCTTGAAGTTTTCTTCTTAAGAGAAAAGTGTAAGACTTTGAAAATTGATTCACTTAAATCAAATATTGGAATCAGACTTATGCCAAGCCATAGCCCCATATAGCCTCCTATGTAGCTGAATAGTTCAATACTCTATATAAAAATAAAAACATTTTTCAATTCATGAATAAAATGTATTATTTGAACTTTTTTAAAAGATTTATACTAAAGTAAACTAATTTCTAAAGGTAAAATAGAAATGCAACGAATAAGATGAGACACAATATTGAAAAATATAGTAACTCAGAAGAGGCGGTTGAAGTTCATAATTTTGCATTCATGATACGAAAAAGGTTAAAGCAATACCTACAAAAGAAAAATGATTTTAACTTTTAGGGTTTTGAAATTCAGCTGAATCCTCTAAACGTTTTAACATATCTCTTGCATGTTCCATTAATCATACAGGTGCCATTTTTGCCTAGTTCAAATCCAATTCGGGCAAATCCGTGACTAAAAAAATCTGTTTGAAACGAATAATTCTTGTTTCGCTTTTTTGTGTTTTAATAAATATAAATTTTCTAAAATCATTAAAATTGTATAATTAAATATCAACCTTATTAATTGCAAACTTTAGATTATCCCGTATAATATGTTGTTGTTTTTGCACGCCCCCATTAGCCAGTAGTCCTAGACCAGGTCCATGACGCCTTATAATATAATTACAGTCAATTCGCTATAACTCGAAGTACGATAACTCGAATATTACTATAACTCGATTTTTTTATGAAGTCCCGACCCTTTTATCTTCAATTTCATGTTAATTATTCTCGATTACTCGAATTTTACTCCCTTTAACTCGATTTTTTTTGGATATTTTAAAGCAAAAAGTAAAACCTAGGAGCTGATACCTTGCCCCTTCTTTTGCAACACACACACAATGTCTTTCGCACACTTCATGGAGAAACTAAAGCTGTCCCTCTTGAAGTTTGTGAACAGCGGTTAAATGAAACGTGTCCAAATTTACTTCAAGGATACAGTTAAAATGATGTTTTCAATATTGATGAAATGGGTTTATTTTATTTCCAAATAAGACTATCTTTAAGGATGAAAACTGCTCGGGGGGTAAAATGAGCAAGGATCGTTTGACTGTCCTAGTTGGAGGAAAATACCGAAATCCCCGATGTTTCAAGATTGTAAAAACGTATTCTTTGGATTAAAAGTCTAACAAAAAGTTTTGGATGATATCAGTTTTATTTGAAGACTATGTAAGAAAATTGGATCGGAAATTCTTCGCTAAAAAAAGGAAAATTGATACTTTTTATGGATAAATGCACAACGCATAGTTATCTACCTAATTTGTAAGCAGTAAACTTGTCCCGCCAAACACAACTACAAAGTTGCAGCCGATGGACCAGGGTATCATAAAGTGCTTCAACCAGTCTTATCGTAAAAGGCTTGTCAGAAAAATGATCTTAAATATTGTAAGCATTTAGAAGATTTGTAATTAATAAGCATTAATTAAATAATCCGACAATATTTAAAAGTCCAAAACCGAAACTAACGGTAAGTCGAACTTCCGATATGTCGAAGTTTTTCGTCAGTCCTATAAGATTCGAGTTATCACAAATTCACTATACCTTGTGCACATTCAATTTCGGGACAATCCAAGATAACTAACAAATGAACCGAGCTTCAGTATTGCAGTAGGAATTTGCCATAAAAGATCCCTCGATTTTAGCTTCTAACTCTGTTTGTGATTCTGTTTTCATAATTAGTAATCTGGCGATCTTATGACGCAAATATTTTAAATCATTCTTGAAAGATACAGGTGCAGCTGACCGGCCCATGTAGGGAGCAGGGAACTGTCCTTGCATCCGAAAGGTTCTGGGTTCGAATCCCGGGTATGGATGTTCTTTCCTTCTTTGTACTATCTGTCTTTACTGTGGGAGCGACGTTGGCCCACCTCATATGGTGCCCCTGTAAGAGAGGTCGACAAAATCGCCCTGTAGATGCCTGAATTGACAGATATTGACACAGGCGAGCATTAGAAAAAAAAAGGATTCCGGTACATGTTCGTTCATTTGAATCCGATACTCGTTTTGTAGATGTAGTTTTGTGTTTTTTCTGTTTCTTATGTTCCTTGCTTGATTTGTTTTATTTCATACTAGCCGCAAAGGCGGCCAGCTGTCCGCCACGCTAAAGGTTTCCACAAATAAAGTTTTTTAAAACATAGCAGGAAATCTGAAGATTAGTGGACAATTAAAGTGTTTCTGTCCTGCAATTTTGTCTTCATATCCAGTTCTGCTGCAGATGTGTTATAGCTCTTGAGGATGNTAAAAATTCTTGTGAAATTGTGTTACAGTTTAAGACTTTATCTACAGTTCGATTTTAAAAGTTTTTTACTTCCAAGTCTTTGAATTTTACGATGACTAAAGTTCTTATTTCAATCTTTTCGTTCTATTCCATTGGGTCACTAGAGAGAAAAATAAAAGAACACTTTCATTTTGAAAGTAAACGATATCTTAAAGAGTTCGAATTTGCATTCCCATCACGGAGAAAACGATATAAAAAAAAATGAAAAGGCAATAAAATCAATAAGCAAACAATCATTGCAAAAACTAACAAGAGCGATAACATCGCTCGACAAGGTGTTATTTTACACGTAGTAATTGGCAACACGGTAAAAACTAGCCGGCGGCAGACGACTTTGAATACCTTATGTCAGTAATTCAAACGATATCACATTGCAGAATTGATAACAGGTGTTTTTTAAAACATTTCATTTGATCAAACATTTTGTCGTCTGGCATGCTGTCATGCATGGCAACATCTCAACAAGAACATATTAAATATACACTTTTATTTTTGCTTCTTTTTATTTTATGATCATTGAATTTCATTATTTATTTTGTCCCCGAATGTTTTGTGCAATTTTTCTGTTTAAAGAAGAACTGAAAATTTTTAATTGATTATATTAAAATGATATTAAAATTTTAATACCCTAAGAACTACAAATAATTCTCGATATATCTCCCTGTCAGCAAAGCCTATTTATTTTAGCATTGGGCAATATTAAAGCATCCAAACGAAATTTATCAGTATCGCGATAATATCGTACTCGATATAACTGTATTGGTAATAGCATATTCCATAATTCTCGTCTTCGTTTATTACAGAATATTACATCAGAAAATGCCGCGAGTTGTATCAAAGTCGATAATTATCGTGTATTCGATATTTATCGTAAATACTAAAATATTGATATAGTAAGGTTTAGAAAACAACAATGTTTTAAAACGTATCGATACAATGCATTATAAGCATTCATTTGTTTATTTTAAGTAAATAACTTGAATTCCAAAGACGAATAATAAAAAGTATGATTTTGTATATTTTAATTATTTTATAATGATTTCTCTTTTTATATTATCTATTCTTATATTTTGTGTTAAAAAACAAGAGTTATCCATAATTTACAGCGGGATAGATAAAAACGTGCCATTTTTAAAGGAATAAAATGCAGCATATGAAATCATAACCATTAATAATATATTCGGTATGGAGTGTATGCTTTATAACGCCTAGTGTATACCTAAACGTTCGAAGGATTATATATATATATATATATAAAGAAAATTAAAGTCTTTTATCTTTTTAGAAAATCAAAAAAATTAATCCATTATGGTATGAAGACTTTGCTGATTTATACTTAGGTTGTGATACGATTAAAAGTCTTCAGTTACTGAAAATGCAAGGCCGAAAAACAACTTTAGGTTATTATTCTGGAGATGAATTGTTCTTCTGTAAGTATTGTCATTATGTATAAGTTTATGAAAAGTTCAAGATGAATTTATATATAAGTTTAAAATGAAGATAAAACAAAGGAAAATTGTAGACATATGAAGAAGGGGGGGATAATAATGAAAAAAATAACAAACAACTAAATTAAAAAAAAAAGAAAAAAAGGATGAATTTTTTTAAAAAAAAAACCCCGAAAATAAAAGATATAATCTTTTTATCAGCCCACACGATTATATCCTCAAAAAAGAGTGCTTTCTGATATTGTATCAATGTAGTCAAAGCAAAATATATTAATACAATAGTGTGAGGAGCACTGAAAAAAAAAATTATATATATAATATTTAAGTTACGGAAAAGGATAAGAGTTTTCTATTTTAAAAAGGAATTAATAAAGGAATTTAATTTCAAAAAGAATAAAATAAAAATGTTACAAAAATACTTTAAATCTTCATGCTTACATTATACTTTGGCTGGTAAATGTGTCGTTTCAGTTGAAACTGTCGAAAGGAATACTCAATCGTTATTAAACTTACTCTGAAAGAAAAAAAAAATCAATAAATTAACCGGACATATTTTTTTAATAATCAATATTTATTTCAATATTTATCTTCTTTATCCTTCGAATCTGAAGAGATTAGATCAATGAGTTTGCGCACACTCATCACCCCTAGCTTTGTCAGGATGCTTTAAAAGGTAGTCTTACACTAAAACAACAACAGGAGCAGCCTTATTCGCATTGTTCAAACATTGTTTGCATTGTTTCATTAATTGTACAACCATATGAAAATCTGATGGTCCTTAAGTGATCGAAAGTTAAACGTGTTAAAGCAATTTTTTCTTTCATGTTCCCTTCAAATTACTGCAACAAAATATTGATATATCTGATATTCAATCGTCATTTATAAGGCCTACTTTATTAAGTTGTATTGTTCTTCCACTAATTTTTATAGAGCGTCGAGGTATCGGGAAAGAAGTCCATCTGATGTTTTTTTTTTATTTGTCCTGTGCTTATTTGTTCTTGAACTTAACATGTTTTTAGAAGCTGTTTTTTGTTCTGAGCACAAAAGCTTGAGTAAAATTTAAAAAAAAACACAATTATCATTTATTTTTTTACCTCAGAATTCTTCATCAATTTGAAGCATGACTGTAAGAGTTCTCCTTTAAGTCTCTGTAGAACAGACAATTTTGTCTGAAAATTTTATACAGGCAACACATCAGAAACTGCGACCGTAGATGGTGAATTCAAAATTAAGGAGTATACTCCTAGTCATACATGACTAGTCATACTTGAAATCTATTTTAATAAAAAATAATGGTCGCTAAAAAAAATTGCGAAAATTGTTTCGAAGCAAATAGCATTATATTTAAGTCGTTTTCAATTTCATTGGGAAAAAGTTTTTGCCAGATTGAACACACAGAGCCGGAAGGATAGAAAGTCTAAGGTATAGTTTCCTTACTCACGTGCATCTTATTAGAACACTATGAGTTCCCAGTCCCATGTACAGTGACTGTTGTACAATTGAGCAAGTGTGTAGACTCTAGTAAGACACTTAAAAACACATTATAGACTTTTTCAGAGCTGCAAATAGTACTTCAACAAAAATGGGCACTCAGACTTAACTCTATGTTAACCTAGCATTGGTAATTCGTATAAATCTTGCATAACAGTCAGGGTTGATTATATCCCCTATTTAAGTAGGGATTTTTTTCAGTCACTCGCAACTAAAGAGTTTCAGTCCTCTATCCAATTAAGCTCGAAGCTGAGTATTTGATAGAGCTCCCTTTTATTAATGGAATTTTTTTGTTAAAATTTGTTTATTTTCCCCAAGTTTAGATGACTTATAGATGCTCTGGTATTTTTTGTGTCGATGTAAATCGCATTTGCCCGACGATGCATTTGCAAAACCATCTCGTCTTTCATTTTCCCACACTAGTGTATTAAGATCGCATCATCAAAATTGTCTTTAACTCCCTGCCTTATGGGATCAAGGCTTAAAACTACTTTTTGCGGATTACGCCAAATAAACCAAATGATTTTTATCGTTCTATTCCTTAAGCGGAGAGTGCTGCAATTATTTATTATTTTAGAACAAGTGAACTTACCTGCAATTCTCAACATTCTTTACGTCATTACACTAAAGAGAAAGTAAAATTGTAATAAAGCTTATTCCTTGTATCTTCTTCAATAAAATGACATACAACATTATTTGCGAAGCAATAAAATCAATTTAGTGTTAGCATATTTTATAAAGGGTTTTTACATTATACAAAACAGATATTTTTCAATTTTTCCATTAGTCGGAAAATTAATATCTTGAGGTTCACGGAGGTTTAATGTCGAATCTCACTAAAAATAAATCTTGCTGTGGTCACAAATTAATACGTCCACTGCTCGATAGGAATTAAAAACAATCATTAGCATACCATGTGAAAAACACTAATATGATTGTTTGTAATAGGTTTAAGGGTTGCAAGTTAGTTGCAATAAATACAATCCTCCAGAAAGACTTGAAAAGTAAAACAAGCCGAACTGCTCAAACCCTGAAAACTATCATACGTAAAAAGTCATTCAAGTTGCTTTTTAATTCAGGAAACGGGATAAATTTCTTTAATAATAAACCGAAGTACTGATGAAAGACTAAAAAGACAGTGATATCTAGGAAAGCCAACATCGGATTAAAGCTCTAGATCAACAGATCCCTTAAAGTAATCGCTTTCTGCATAAAAATCTATTTTAATTTGATTTATGTTCTAAATTTGCGTTCCACTCCAACAATATATATTTTGCTATTTGAGATTGACGCCAGTCTGAAAGAATTAAACAGTGTTTTTCTTATAATTTTCAATTACTGTCCAACTGTTTTTTACGAAATATTCCCTATATCATTAAAGCTGTGGGGTTTCGGAAGCTTCGTAAATTTTTGAAATCGAACGAATTTAGTTTCCTTAAAATTAATTCCAGCTTTAAAAGTTTAAATTTATTAAAAACTGATTTTTGACTTATGAAAGAATTGCAGATATCATTAAAATGGTGGGAAAACCAAAGTTTCGCAATCATTTGAAATCGCGTAATTTCAATTTCGTAAACATTAATTTAGAGAATCTATTTCAGCAAAATTATAAATTTGAACGCTTTAATTAAGAAGGCGATTTAAATAATCGCCTGTCGGAACAGACCTCGTGTCATTTAAGCCTTATGCCTTAACAATTCGATTATGAATACGCATACTTCTTTCTCTTTTTCTTTTAACTTTAATATTCAATTAACTTGAGCTTTGTGGGGTAGTATCTTGACTCAGGGACAGCCAGTGTCTGCAAATTTTTACCCATCCTTTGTTTTTGATGCTTTTTGATTTAAGCTCGGTTTTGTTTTAAGAAGAATTTTGCAAATGTGCATTTCTCTTGTATGTTAATTTTCAGTGATATGCTTCGTTTTGCATTAACTCAAAATTAATTGTTTCTAGAATTTTCTCAAATTTGAGTAAAATAATTCCTTATTGACTCATTTGTATTACCAAACATTGCTTTTTTTTAACCAAGTTAGAAAAAATATTTTAAAAGCAAAAAAAAATGTACAATGAATCAACATGATTCTCTTTATAAAAAAAGACTACGAAATATAATAGAAAGATAGTAATTACTTACAATTGGAAGTAGATCTATTTTTCGATACTCAATTTCATATATTCTCTCACTTAAAGAAAAAATAATAATAGTTATCCAATCTTTTCAATACTAAAACGGGTTTAAAACTACATCAATACTTAAAAGAGAACATCATAATATAAGATTTTCAAAGAAATTAGTTTTTAATATTTTTTTCCATTTTGTAAATATGAGCAAAAATAAAATTTTTTTTGAAAGATAAATTAAACTCAAGTGAGAAAAATGTACAAATAGCAGAAAAAGTAAGTAAATAAATAAATAATTAAATAAAAAGAAAGCTTTTTTTGCATGTTGTATGTATATTTCATGTTGTATGTATATTTCATGTTGTATGTGTACTTGCATGTTGAATATATATTCCAAATAAAATTTGATAAATCTTTTAATTTTTCACTAATTATTTGCCTAAAAATTTATCACCATATGTAGATATATGTGTATATATATATTTGTATATATACATACATACATACATACATATATATGTGTATATATATATACAATAAAACCTCCATTAAGCGGGCATTCTTGGGACCGAAAAAATTGTCAGTTTATGAGAGTTGTCCATTTACGGGAAGGGTACCCTAATAACGACGTTAAGGCTGTAAATTGTTTCTGGACTATTTTCAAGGATGAAAANTATATATCTATATATATATATATAAAGAAAGAGAAAGACTTTCGTTTTGTTTTTCTCTATACTGAACAGACTATCTAATAACAAATTTATCGCGATATTCATTTTTGACAAATCTGAAAAATACTTCAAAACATCAAAGTGAAAATGAAAACTTAGTATCACTTGTACAATATGATCTTATACTTAAATATTTTCTCTGGTTTTGACATCATTCGAAATATTTGTAATTCGTCTCCCATAAAATGGAGTGCCAGCTAATTGCAGGACGCTGCTAACATATATTTCCAATCTGTGATTGGAAACCTTTTTTTAAGTTTCGGTTTATAAATCTATATCTAACTACTACGTTTGCCTCTGAAAAATGATGGTGTTGTTAGATTGGGAAAATTTAATAATTATTTGGCTAAAACATTCGCATATTTGTTTTTCGTAATGTTAACACCATAGGTATATAGAAAAGTACAATTATGGATACTCCTAAATCAATGAAAAAATGATTCCGTTCCAACATTCCGTTTCAAAAAAGAAGCCATTGACACTACAAAACTTTTGTGGTTCACGTGATCATTCATACGAATGTACAGGTGGCTGCCAGAAGATCATTTAAGAAATATAGAACTGTGATTGGTGTGTTGATTCATACTAAAATTTTTAAATCTTTGTTTGAAACAATCTAAGAGATCGATACTTACAAACAAGCTGGTGGACAACGCTGGGTACAATTTTTAATAATATCATCTGTTGTTGTTATTATGGTGTGGTACACTGAAAAATATTTCTTCAATGTTAATAACTTATTAGACAGTTTTAAAAGAAAAACAATAAGCAAATCTAAAAGCAAAACAGTAAACAAAAGGTGAGTTTTGAGCATGTACTCATTTCTCTACATAATCACGATATCGGTCGATACATTTTTGTATTCGAAGTAGCAATTTTTGTATGCACATATCATACCAGCTCACCTCCAAGCTGTTCAGGAAACTTCATACCTCAGCTTCCGTTGTCGCTGTTGGAGCGCTTTTCAGACAAATCTGTTTTAACTTTGAAAAGAGATGGTAGTCACTGTGAGTCAAGTCCCAAATATAGGGTGGATGGGTGACGACGCTCCATCCAAGATGTTGCAGTCGAGTGAAAATTTGTTGGGAAGTATGGGGGCGAGCGTTATAATGGAGAACGCTTACGTCCTCGCTCAACATCCCTTTTCTTCGGTTCTGAATCACCCACCTGAGTTTTTGCAGTATCTCACAATATCTCACAGTGCGCTGCGATGACTCAGAGGATAGAGAGTTCTCTTTCCAACGAGGTTAGCCGGATTCGAATTCCAATGATGGTTGGTTGATACGAATTCCCCATCCGCCTTGCACCTATCACAGTTTGACGTGAAATATCCTCAGTGGTAAACAGATCATGGGTTAGAATCCCCTAGTCGTCAGGCTAACTCTGGGAGGTTCTCGCGTTCCTCCTCTCCATGTAACGTAAATGCGGGTTAGTACCATAAAAAAGTCCTTCATGAAAGGCAAATTTCTCCCAATACTTGATCCAGGAGATTCCTTATCTTCTGGATTGGGTTCAAAATTACAAGGATACGTATTTGGGCCTTAGTAGTCGTAAACCCAAAAATTGGGTTGGCTGTTCAACAATGGTTTTAAAATAAAATATCTCTCAGCGTTTAATCTGGTGACAGTTTAAATAAAATCAGCCAACAATACCCCTTTTTGATCCCAAAATACAGTTGCCATGACTTTACCGGCAAATTGTGTTCGCTTGAATTTACGAGGCTTAGGTGAAAAGGAATGCCGCCACTGACGTGATTGTTGTTTTGTCTCAGATGTGAAGTGCTGCTCCCAGGTTTCGTCACCTGTGACAATGGTATTCAAGTAGTTGTCCTTTTCGTCAGCTAGTGGCTACGAAATTCGTCAGCTAGTGGCTACGAGAGTTGACCTATCAAGCAATATTGGAGCAAACAAGTTCTCAAGTTAACGTTATTTTAGTATTCGTTATGTCATTGCAGAGATGCCAACAGCTGCGGACACGACAAAATAATTTAAAAAACGGTAAATAACTACAAAGTAAATTTTGCAAATAGTTGACAATATTTGCTTGCTTTTAAAAATGTACAGCATGTAATAAGTTCTTTAGAGTGGTGAATTATATAAGCCTACGCATTGTTTAGAAATAGTGGTGGATTAAAATCTACTAAATCGAACTTATGAAACCAAGAATTACAATTAATGAACTACCTCTTGAAAATATTTATTCGCTGTGCTTATGCTCCAACAATAAGTCGGCCTGTCTATTTCAGGGGCTCAATGTCGTGAGATTTTGTGGGACTCATTTTGCTCACATCTGCCGATATTTCAACTTTTCTGTCAAAACCCGATAAATGGTGGTTCTGCAAACCTCAGGAACCCAAATGCAGTGATCATCTAGTGTGAAGTGTCTATGCTGATGCACGACTCACTCAATTGTCGCGGCTCTCACATCAGAAATAGCCGGTCTCCCAGTTCTTTTTTCGTCGTGTACTGCAGTACGACCAGATTCAAACTTCCTGCAATACTGAGTCTCATTATCATTGTTTTCCCCCCTTTAAAGTCTCTAAAAAGATAATTTTGTTTTTAAAGTATATAATTATTATACTTTTATTTAAACAAAGTTTGTTAATATGTTAGTTGCAAAGAAAATGATTGGTTTTACTTATGATTAAAAAATAATTAACTGTACATGAGAAATGCAGAACTTACGAATACAGCATGTGAGATTCAATAAGAAGTAATGGAACCGAATTCGTTCCACTTGTTATCAATGTGTAATAATAATCTTATTTCATATGACTGTTAAAACTAGAAACATCTCTTTTATCTTTATCTCTCTTGAACCTTTTATAATTTTTTAAAACATGCTTTGATGCAAATGCTAAAACTTATATCAGACACCATCTAGTCCCTCCTACGTATTATATTTATTCATTTTTTTGCTATTTTTGATATCAATTTAAGTGAGAGATTGAAAAATGAAGGTCTCGAGCAAGATCTGTTTTTTCTGCAACATTGAATGAATAGTCGTTTTTTAAAGCGAAACCATTTGAAAAAGAAATGAGAAATAGGGCAATTTAAATAGCAATAACTATCGAACTAATTGGAATGTCAATGAATGTTAAGTGCATTAATTAAAATGATCTTTCAGCACCTAAGTTCACATATCTGTAATTGTATTTCAGTTCACTGTAAAATAGTCTACATGTTATACCAAAAGTTGAGCATTCTAAAAAAGTGATGGCAATTTTTTATCTGCTATTTTATATGGTACTTTCGTACGATTCTTTTTCCAAAACATCTTTTTTATGTCTTTACTGACTGTAAAAATGCTTATAAAACCAAAATTAGTAAATGTGTATTCTAGGCTATAGACAATTGCAGATATGAAATCAGCTAGTTATTCATAATTAAGTTACATCTAGGAAAATGAAACTGGGTATTTTTTTGAGCATCGTAACAAATACAACATAAAAAAAAATTGCAAAATGACTCCACTTTTAATACTTACGATGAACACAAAGGTAGTTAGTATGAGAAATATGAATCTGCTCATCTATACATTCTCCTTTTAACAAGACTGTCTCCATATTGCAATGCTGAATACATTCCTTTAATGAAAACCAGAAAATATAGGTGCATAAATAACATACCGATTTTAGGAAATAAGGCAGTCAAGTATAATCCGTCGGAAAGCTTTCATATTCTGGACACAACTCAAAATGCGCACTTACAGAAATGGACGCAACTCAAAGAACGTATTTAAGAGAATGAACACGGCTGAAATTGCCTTTTCATGAAAAGCGAAGCTCGAAATTCATCAAAAAAAAAAATGTTTAAAGCTCGAAATGGGTGTTTAAGAAAAAGGAGTCAGCAAAATAAGCGTCTTTTCAACGTCCAACCCAGATTTTGCAGCTAAACGTTGTACTTAATGCGTACGTTTCCTTACTTTTAAAATACTAAGAAAACTAATAAAGTTATAACGAAGGAGGAGCAAAATCTGGGTCTTCAGGATCTAAGCTGTGTATGTTGTAGTTGTAACTTTTCAAGCTATGATTTCGAAATCGCAGTGAATAATTGAATTTTAAGAATTCTATCAACGTAAATTTATTTCACTATTACAAATTCATAAGATCCGTGGAAACCTTGTAATAACCAGTAGCAACCTTGCTTCGTCCAAAATAAAAAAAACACACCAATTAATTGTTTTATATATTAACCTATTAAAATCATTGAGTTTACACTTTCTTATTCAAAAGCAGAGCAATTGCTTTGAATTTCACAATGCGAATAATTGCTTTTTCCTTAACAAAAAAAAAATAAAATAAAAATGCGAACATTTAAACTTATGGACTATTTCAAGCTGCCAGCATATATGGAAATCAATAGTAATAAAAAAAGTTAACCCAGAAAAAATCTTTCCTTCTGAAGGAAAATTTAACGAATTAACTTAATTTATTATTAAACGTATTTTATCGGTTTTCACTTGTCATATTTCATTTTTCAAAATAAGACTTTTTACTTCACTCATAATGAAAACAAGTTCTTAACTGGAATATAACGATAAAATAGAAAAGGAATCCTATTTTCAAAAATATTTACAATTATTGCATTAGAAAAAATGAATCGCAAAATTTGAATAAATTTTTTCCGTTGCGTTATATTCCGAGCATTAGAACTCTTTTTTTAGTATACATGCATATCAGCTGTGTGTTAATAACATCAATAATGTATTTTAATTTTGTTTAAAAAAATATCGGTGTCTGTACATGCTGACACTTATCAGCGTCTAGAGCTTGAATTTTTTTAATATCTTACTTCCATTTGTATAGGTTTTACAACTTTTTTAAATAGTGCTGCTTAGCTATTCATAAATTAATATTTTTAAAGTAAAATATTCCTTTACCTGCTTGTTTCTATAAAAAAAAACTTTTTTGTAACATTTCTTTTGACATTTTACTAATTTACGCCAAACTGATCGAAAATCATTATTAGTTCTGTTTTATTTAAGTTGTTTCTTTTCATCATTGCAATTTTGTAGAGATTTCATATCACATTCATTGTAACATTTTAAGAAATAATTAAGAATTTTTTTTCACTTGTCTCAAAATCTTATAACTTCTTTTTACTTCTGGCAAATTATGGTGCATACGTAATAATCGCAAGTAAAAATATAATCAACTGATAACGATAGCATGGTACCTACTAAGTTCCGTAAAATTACTTCCTCTCCAAATTCAGTAGTTATCAGGTCCAGGAGTGGAAGGTATAAAATTAGGCTATTCCTGATTTCTTTAGAGTTTACTTAATTTTTCATTCGATCATCTAACTTACTGCTTGTGTTGTTGGTCCACTGCCATTATTTTCTTTCCACGCTTTGATATAGTCATAACAATTGGTACTGTAGGGGGGCGGAAGCCTTTCAATTTGAATCTGAAAATAAAATTATTTCGACGAAATTAAAAATAAAGTTTTGAAAATCAAGGCACATACTTGTATGATTAGAACTTCTGTGTTGCATTACACGATTTTTAAAATGAAGTCTATTCATTATAAAATATTCCTGTTGAACTAAAAAAAATATTAAACAGTCGGAATTTTTTTTAAATGACATTCATTTTTTCGAACATTGTAGAAAAGTATATAGTATTTTAAAATTCCTCATAGAAATCTTTGAAAAAGTAGAAAAAATCGCTCCCCTCAAAAGCTATTACGGAAAAGAGAAAAATCATTCAAGTTGCTTTTTAATGAGAAAGAAAAATTTGATAAAATTCCTTTATAATTAACAAAAGTTAAGATTAAGGGCTAAAAAAGCATTGATGTCTATTTAAATACATTTAACATTTTTATCGGTTCTGGTTTTGTGTATAAGACTAAATACGAAATTTTCTTTTATTACCATTGCAACGTTGGCCTCATATGCCTGGCCTCCGACCAATTCGTAACCTCCTTTGAAAGGATTGATTAGCTGTCTTCTGTCGTGTGCCGATGCATAGAAAACAACCCGATCCTCGTACTGAAAGTATTCCTCAGGATGTGTGAGAAGGCTGATATAAATAACTGTGGAAGTGAATAAGAAATACACATAATTAATTGATATCAACAATGAAATTTCTTATTTAAACACTTGGGGACAGTGTAAAAATAGTTAGTGCATCTTATCC